ATTCCCGATCGTCGATACGACCGCACGGCATTTCGAATCGAAAATTTTCACACTCAAATCGCTTTATTCTCCAAAAAAATTCGCCAGCATGTACAACAAATGCCGTTCTTCGAAAATACGGAGGTACTTCGGCGAGATGTACAAGTGTTGGACCATATTTTAACAATGGAAATCAAAACCCATTTTATATTGAACTTGCCCAGGCCGAAAATTACTACGGGGAACGTCTGCGCAACCAGGCCTCCTTTACCGCTGGATTTACAGGGGGGAGGATGCCACTAATATATTCACGATAATATTTCGAATTAAAGTATCATATTCTACCATGCTTTCCAACAAAGAGCCGCTGTATATTACTTCTTCCTTAAATTTCTTCAATCTCCGTCGTTTAGTTTTCGTTTCTTCGACAACATCTCGAGTTTTATACAGTATCCGATCGAAGGAGTTTTTATTTTGAATATCAAATTTCAAATAATGTAAACAGTAGCCTGCATGGCAGGCGGTACTTCTACGGGCAGCGAAAATTAGGGAAGCAAAGGAAATACCGTCTGCCGCAAAACTAGGGGTTTTTGAATTACCCGTCCGCTGGTGAACGGGAAAAACGGATTGGTTAGTATTTTTATGTAGTTGTCAATCAACGGCTAAATTCGGTTAAATGTTAATCATTAACCAAATGTTTTGACGTTTTGAAACTCTGCGTTTTGAAATTAGTTCACGTCAAGTCAGACCAGATTACCAGAAATGGAATAACATAATAAAAGAAGCAAATTAAAAGATACAAGCTGAAAAATAACACTCTAAATAGTGTTTTTGATAGAGATTCGAACAAGAATATTTAACAAAGAAGATACGTCCGAAGGGGCCGAAGTTATGATCGGCGAAAGGTATGGGCTAGTCTATATTTTCGTTCAGACAATTACATGCGTATTAATTTGATAATATACTATCTCGCTTGACTTTCAAAGGCCATAAATCGCAATAATGTTGACATTTTACTAAAACTATCGATAGAAATTAGGAGATATTTCTTCACTAAATCGAACAGTGGGATTTCCATATAGGCCTATCAGTCATGTTCTGAACCAAAGATACTTGATAGATATTATATACGAACCTCCATATATAAACAAGGGGCCAGTAGATGCAGTAATTATCAAATAACTGTTAAACTCTTATATACCCGTTGAATATGTATAGTTGTAAACAAATAAAAACTATCATTCTATAAGGTTCAATACTTTCAGTTTGGTTGTTGACTGATGATGAATCTATAGTATAGACTTGCATGCTTTGTATTTTGAGCTTATTAAACCACCGTTTTAAGGCAGCTAAACGGCTAAACGGGCTTGGTTTATATTAACACATAAAATAAATTCCCTGATTCTCATCACTAGACACAGTCTACACTTTGAAATGTCGAAGACAGTGGGAGATTTATTTTTTATATTTTATATTTATATAATTTATATATCAATAGTTCGTATCTCCACGAACAATGACAGAATGACTGGGTTTCTTTAAAATACAATGAAATTTCACTCAAAATTCTGTTTGTTTCAAATTGGAAGTTTAAAATGGCAATAAAAACTCTATATAAAATATGAAAAAATTAACTGTCTTGAATTATTTTGTCGGGCGGTACATTTATATTGTATAACTAAAAATAAAACGTTTTCACGAGGATTTTAAAATTCAGTCGGGCGGTGATGAGAATCAAGGAATTTGTTTTATGTTAGGCAGTTGGGACTTGGGAGCAGCTTGGGAGTCGCTAATTTTGAAAATTTACTTAATTTAATTAATGCATCTATAAATAGCGTTGATGCTTCAGGGGCGGTAGTTCATTTACACCCAGTTTTGCGGCAGGCGGTATTTCCTACGTACCGCCTGCCATGCAGGCTAGATAATACCTCGCTGCATCGATCGAAATCTTTTTGAATTAAACCCACTTGTGATGTTCATGAACACAGAAAAATCGCTTAACTACGATGATTTAAAGGCTTGTGTAAAGAAACGGAACAAGAGCGCATTTTACAAGTGACTGGAAGCTCTGACGTCTCAACTCCGCTATAATTGAAGCTAAACAAAATAGCCAAATTGTATCAAATTTCAGAGGCTGTCGAGTCTTCAAATCGCGGTCAGTAACAAGTTTTATTGTGGATATGGGTACTTCAAACTTCCATTTTTTTAACCATATTAGTCACTGAATCCAGTCAGGTGCCACTTTTGAGAAATTTAAAGTCGAATTTGATATGCGTACAAAGCCGTATTTACACCCGGTGCTTGTTATCGCTAAAGTTTGCCATAATCTTTCTGTAAAAGTATCATAAAACAAGGCAAGTTTCAAAGTAGAATAATTTTCGCGTTGGTGGGTCAAAAAATCATAAAATTTGGTTGAATACTTTTAAAATTATATGTATTTGAATTCGGCTAATTTTTATTCCTGATTTAGGCAGAGGATTTTCTGCACGACGGCGCGGGCCGAAAAGTCGCTGAAATTTGAAAAATTAAAAAAATTTCAAAATTCCAAATAGTGTTTGTTTGTTCTTGGGGTAAATACATTTCATTGTGAAAGTAACGAAGAATTTCATTTTATGAGCCGAGAGTCGTTGGTCGGTTCTTAGAGAGACAGCCTCTTAAGTCCTCCTGTTAAGGTTGTATAAATGTATAATAATTCCACAAGGAATTTCTGTCTACAAATCGCCAAACAATTTGTTATATCAAGTTGGATGCCCAAAATCCTGATATTTACCCATATATTGCCATTACCATAGTATTTAAACATGAACGTGCATGCGATTAGAGCTCAGCAACTGTTTCTCTGTAGCTCAGTTGAGTAGAACGCTCCGTAGGAATCTTAGCGCCACAGGTTCGAGTTCCGCCAGAAAGTAGAAAAGATAGAAAAGTTCGACTCTAAATTTCCATTTACAAATCCCTTCAACTAACTAGTTTATTTCCAAACGACATTAGTGTACTTACAAATTCTCGAACTTCTTCGTCACGCTCCAGAGACAAACCACTCGGCATGTTCACATATGGCTTGCAACCAAAGGTAAAGATCTCAGACAGCAATACACCGAATGACCACACATCAGATGCCGTTCTGAATTCACCAAACTGGAATACTTCAATAGCCATCCAACGCACGGCAAATTCATTGGAAATATCATTGACCTTTCGTGTTATAGAACTCTGCCGACCGGTTGGCGACTTTGGACCTGGATAAGAAAGACTGGCGAGGTGAAAGTCGCCAAGTTTCGTAAGCAGGATTCCGTTCTCCATAAAGACAAAACAGTTCTTGGCGCACAAATCACGATGGATTAAATTTTGTTCACCAAGATATATCATGGCTTTGCAAACATCCACAGCAAACTGGAACATTTCTTTAGTTTCAGGGGCGTTGACAAAGCCTCGAAGATACGTCAAAAGATCGTTTTTAGGTGTTCTTTCTATGATCAAGTGCATTGGGGCTTCAATGCTCGAGCCGAGAAGTCGAACGATATATGGACATGGTTCTGCCGCAGCATTCAGAACTCTGACAATTTCGATTTCTTTTCGTAAAGGAACACTCTTTAGCAAGTCAGTTTTCAGCACGTCTTCTCTGGTGTGTTGATGTAGTTTCAGCAAGCATTTCTTGCCATTCATCACAACATCATAAGTACTCACCTGTTGTTGTCGCATACAAAGTTTCGATCTTAGCACGATCTGCAGCACTTTAACTTTGTATGTTGACGATACGTGAAAAATGGACAGACGCTCGATGAACGATTTTTCATCACCTTTACAGTTGTCTGTAACGAATGGCTCGAAACTGTAAGATGGTGCAACAAATACAGCCCTCTGACACAATTTTTCAAGATTTGTTGTGACAAGTGGATCTTTGGTTGGGTTTGATCTATTGTCAATCCAGCCTCGAAACACACCTCTGCAACCTTGTTCGCCGGTCAAAACTTGATCAATTATTGCTAGAAATAAGAACAATTACACTTTTATTTCAATACGTATAGCTATTTCACAATATAAAACTAATTAAATATATACAGAGAGAAAACAAAATGAGTGATCTTCCAATAGGCCTTATATTTAAAAATTATTACAATAGGAAAATGATTACTTTCGTTTTAATTAAAACTTATTTTTGAAAGATTGCGGATCGTTTGAGATCTTTTAAAGTGTCTATGACACGAAATTTCACCCCAAATGTTTATGATTGCATTGCGAAGATCGCTTTAAAATGACTTAATAATTTCTTTTATGGAATTTTGGTAACTTGCTTCCTTTGCAAGATATTCAACTTTGTTTCATATGCAAATATCACCGGTGTGACATCACATCGCATAATGACATTTTGAAAACGCAATATTTTACCTTGATAAAATATTTTTACAAACCAATGCAGAGGGTTAATTACCAGTTATGAAATTAATACATATACAAGGGCAATTTTTAAGTTTTTTAGATACGTTTTCGTCAAGATAACTATACGTTTCTGAAAACTCATTATGTGATATGATGTTACACCGTTGATATTTGCATATGAAACAAAGTTGAATATCTTGAAAAGAGAGCAAGTTACCAAAATTATATAAAAGAAATTATTATAATAAGTCATTTTAAGTGATCTTTACAATGCAACCATAAACATTTGGGGTGAAACTTCGTGTCATAGGCACTTTAAGATCGCAAGGTAAATAATTCCAAGCCACCGCACCCCAGTAACTAAATTATTTCTTCTTGAAATTGGTAATTGTGTACGTCATTGGTTCTTTAAAATAAATTTGATATGGAGCGACGAACCATTGAATTTCTAACTTTAAACATTAGTGTAGCAAGTTGTTGGTTCCTAGGAGTCCCCATATTGTCAAGGTTTGTTGTAGAAGAACACAGGAGCGGACATCGTATCCACACTTAGTGATAATTGCGTGTAGCTCTATTTTGTAAACGCTGCAGTCAGCGCGGTAACTACAGGGCGGGTTTGGGAGGGCACCCCCCTCAATATTGTAATATTCCAGTTTCGTCGGGCAATTTTTACAATTTCAACGACACGCTCGTCGGGCAAGAAAATGCAACTGAGTAAAAAAGTTAACATAACTTATTGAAAGTAGTAGTTGAGGGGAAAATTTTGATAAATGTACGAAAACATTACTGACAAATTGTACAAATTACGGTACATTAGTTCAAAAGTTTGTGAAAAATGGTATGTTCGAAAATTTTTCCTCCCTCTCTCCAACGGACACGTTTTTTTAGTCGTGCCAAACAAGCCCCCCCCCCCAATCCGTAATACCAAAGTTACGGCCTTGGCTGTAGTTTATCAGAAATTGTGGAACCGAGGCCGGCCCATACCTGTGAACAATATTCAAAGTAAGGTTGCACTAATGTTTTATAGGCAATTAGTAAAGCTTCAAAGTCTAAGCATTCTCTTTATAATTTAAACTTTTTAATAAATTCAAACCTCTGTTTACTTTAGTTGTTATTGCGTTCATCTGTTCATTCCAACTTAGCGTCTCATCTAACATTAGACCCAATGACTTAATCGTTTTAACTCGTTTGATTTTTTCTATGCAGAGATATATTGGAGGATCTATCTGTTTTATTTAAATAAATTAATAAGCCTTTTATCCTATAATTATATATTCTGTTTTCTTAGTATTTGTAGTATACTGAGACTTGTTTTAGTACACGCTTGGCATTTTTTCTTCAGAAACGTCCAGTTCGTTAATTTTTGCTGTACAAGAAATTCTTCAATTTTGATTCTTCTTCTAAGATATTTCGCATTTGCATAGAACATATCATTTCTAACGATCTGATGTTTTTTGTTTTTGAAATTGTTACATTTTTGGCGGGAAAATAATGTGACGAAATTGGCGCCAAAAAAATATATAATAGATATAGGTTTTCTTCTGAATAAATCTGAAAGAGTATACTGTAAGAACCTCAAATGTGAAGTCCGTTTTGTTATGGCTCAATTCATTGCAAGGATATAGCTAGTTGAATTTCGAAAATTCGTCATTTTGTTTCTCAAAGTAGAACAAAATGGCGGATTTCTTGTATTTTGAATTGATATAACTTCGTAATGAATAGTCATAATTCAAAACGGACTTCATATTTGAGGATCTAATAGTATACTCTTCCCGGTTCATACACAAAATCAGCTGTATCTATTATATAAAATTTTGGCGCGAATTTTGTCGCATTATTTTCCTGCCAAAAATGTAACAATTTCAAAAACAAAAAACATCAGCTTGTTAAAAATGAGATGTTCTAGATAAGTGCAAAATATCGTAGAAAAAGCATCAATATTGAAGAATTTCTTGTACAGCAAAAACGAACTGGACGTTTCTGAAGAAAAAAATGCCAAGCGTGGTATAAGAATATAAGCAAAACAAACAACGTGGTCGAGTTACAACACAATTCTTTTACTCCCGTACAGCATTACGGGATATGCATAAATTATGCTAATATGAACCTTAATATATTACACTGCTTTTCCTTTTTTTATTAGTTATTTATATATATTAGTCAAAGAACAACACAAACAGAAAATGCTTACCATCCAAACCTATTTACTGGCTTTCTGATTCTCCCAGATCTCCGAAGATCTTTCTGCCGTGCAACAACATCTGAAGACACCACAGGTGTCACGTTTTTCTCAACTACCTCTATCAGTGATTCACTTACCTCGGTAGCTATTTCGCCATTGTCATCTGCGACAGTCTGTTCCCCAGATTCTGAAATACTTACCTCTGGTTCGTCATCATCATCTTTTAAATCATTGCTACCATTTTCTCTACCATCATGTGCCTTGATCATATGATCTGGATGCACACGTCTCATTCTCTTTCCACATTTTACAACATATGTCCGCGGCCCACAACTCTTAACTACTGTACCTAAAATCCATTTGTTAGTTTTGTTCGTTGCTCTAGTGTTTTACACGCGCACTCTTTCCTCTTTCTCAAATGTTCTCTCACTCTTTCCTTTCCCATCTTTATACACTTTCTGCTGTTCTTGCTTTCCCTCTACGACCTGTGCTAGATCAGGTTTAACCAAACTCAACCTTGTTCTCAAACGGCGCTTCATCATCAACTCTCCTGGCGACACACCTATGGTGCTGTGAGGAGTGGTTCGATACCTAAGGAGAAAATTTGCCAGTCTATGTTTCATAGACACACCTTGGGTGCCTTGAATAACTTGTTTGGCTAAAGCTTCTTTAACCACTCTCACGGACCTTTCCGCTGCCCCAATTGATTGCGGATGATATGGGGGGGACTAATGTGTGCTTGACTGTAAATTGAGGTCCATTGTCGGACACTACCTCCTCTGGCAAACAATAAACAGCAAAGATCAATCGAAGCTCATCAAGAGTACGTTAGGTAGTAGTAGAGGTCATATGTTTTACTTCAATCCACTTTGAGTGGTTGTCAATTACCACAAGAAAATAATCCTTACCTTCTTGACAGAAATCAATATGAACACGTTGAAATGGTCTGGTCAGCCATTTCCATGGTATCAGTGGGGCATGAGGAGGGGTGTTTCTTACCGACTGACACACTGTGCAAGCTTTCACAGCCCTCTCAATATCCTCACCATCTTGGGCCACCAAACACAGGTGCGTGCAATTGCTTTCTTTCCGCGTACACCTGGATGTTCCCAATGTAATTTATTGAGCAATTTCTCTCTAAAAACTGGTGGAATAACCACTCTGGAGTCCCACAGAACACAATCTTGTTCGCAGGATAATTCCAGCTTTCGGTTATGATATGGTCTCAGATTTTCATCCTGACAATTCTCAGGCCAACCTGACATGATATAATAATATACTTTACAGAGAACAGAATCAACTTTAGTTGCCTTCCCAATATCTTTTGCAGTAATTGGAAAATCATCATCGATTGCACTTACCTGGTAGATTGCACTCTCACTACCTATAGTTGAGTTTTGATGTTGCAACCTACAGAGTGCATCACAATTAGCATGTTTTTCAGATGATTTGTATTCTATCACATAATCATAGGCAGAGAGTATCAATGCCCACCTTTGCATCCTTGCAGCAGCAAGTGTGGTAATTGCAGACCTAGGACCCAAAATTGCCAATAGTGGTTTGTGATCTGTGATCAATGTAAAATTTCGACCATACAGAAACTGGTGAAATTTTTTCTTTACCCCGAACACTATCGACAATGCCTCACGCTCAATTTGGGCATAATTTTTCTCAGTTTGACTAAGTGTGCGAGATGCGTAAGCAATTGGTCTTTCCTGACCATTGTCCAACACATGACTCAGAACGGCACCAAGTCCGTAACTTGATGCATCACAAGCAAGTCTTAATTTCCTATTTAAATCGTAGTGTACTAACAGGGTATCACTAGTAGGACTTTGTTTACAAACATCATAAGCTTTTTGACATTCGGACGTCCATTTCCACTGGGCATCTTTTTTAAAAAGCTTATGCAAAGGTGCGAAGGTTGTTGCCAAATTTGGAAGAAATGAATGGTAATATTGTACCATACCCATGAAAGATCTTAGCTCATGGACGTTAGATGGCAAGGGGCCTTCCTAACGACATCCACTTTCTCCTCTAACGGGTGCAAGCCCTTTTCATTAATTTTAAGACCTAGGTACACAACTTCTGGTTTTAAAAACTCACATTTTGACTGTTTTAAGTGTACATTATGCCGACATAATCTTTCTAAAACCTCACCTAATATCTTCAGATTCTCTCTCCAGTCATTCCCACCAATAAGAATGTCATCCTGCTTACACACACATTTCTCTATCCCTTGGAGAATCTGATCCATTTTAGACTGAAATATCTTAGGTGCAGATTTAAACTCATAAGGTAACTTAGTGTAGCTATACAACCCTTTATGTATGTTTATTGTAAGATACTCTTGACTCTCTTTATCAACATTTAGCTGAGCATATACATATGCATGAGATAAATCGAGTTTACTAAAAACTTTAGACCCTGTTAGCATAGTGTACAAATCCTGTGTAGTGCGAAGAGCATACTTCTCGTCTTGTACCGATTGGTTTATTATTACCTTATAGTCTCCACATAACCTTATAGGCTTATCGGCCTTTGGTACAACTAGTACTGGACTTGCCCACTTTGTCCTCTCAGTTTTTTTATCACACCATGTCTCTCAAGTTTTCCTAACTCTGCTTCTACAGCCTCTTTCAGTGCATAAGGAACTTTACGTGGCTTAACAAACACTGGCCTTGCCCCGTCTTTCATAGTGATATGTGCTTCAAACCCTTTCATTCCTTCATAGCTGTCTTCAAACATGTTTTTGTACTTTGACAGTAACACATTAAGTTGGTCCCTAGCATTACTTTGCTCTGACGTTTTTATGCTAAAAACCCTGCCCCAATCTAACTTCACTGGGCAAGCCAATTTTTACCTAGTACAGTGGGTTTCCCTACATAGTTAGCTATCACAATTGGCAACCTAAAAGTTTTATTTTGGGACACAATCTCACATTTCATCTCACCACTTACCTGAAGTATCTCGCCGGTGTAGGTCTTCAATT